TAAATTTTCTCAAAGGGACCTTCAAACCACCTGGTAACATTTATTGAAAAGACCATCTTTCTCCTATGGCTCTGCGGTGCCACAATAGGCCAGAGCATTTTATCTGAGAGGGGATCTGATTCTAGAATTTCTATTTTATTCTATCTTCCTGTCTGTGTATACTCCAGCTAATATCACACTATGTAGATTAATATACCACAACATGTTAACTAATATAGCCAATACCACACAACGCAAACGAATAAGGCTTTTGTTATCTTGTACTAATTTTCTTCCAGTTTTGTTCTTATTTTTGAAAATTTCCTAGGTGATTCTAAGACTATAAATTTGCATATGAATTTTAAATTTAGTTTGAAGCCTTCTCACACACATACACACCAAAAAAAAAAAAAAAGCAGAAGAAACAAAGCAAAATAAACGATCGAGCAAGCGAACAAAAATCCTTGCCTTGATCTTCAATGAAAATTTAATTGAATATAGATTAACTTAGAGAAAACTGACATTTGAAGTATTTACTCTTACTACTTCTAATCTGTACATGCTCATCATTTATGAAGGTTCATTGATTTCTCCCCATGAAGTTCTGTAGTTTTCAGTATGCAAGTCTTGTCCATATCTTGCTAGATTTATTCCTAGATATTCAATATTTTGGGGTGCTACTCTGAAAGGTATCATTTTCTCAATTTTGATTTTTCTTTGTTTCTGGTAGAGCAGAATAGAATTGGCTTTCCGTATATCACCCTTTCATTCCCAATACTGTTTAACTTACTTACTGAATCTACTAGTTAGTCTACTATTTCTTTTTCTAAGTACATGATCACATCAAGAGTAAATCATTTTACCTCCTTTGCTACCCTTAAACCTTTTATTTCTTTTTCTTGTCACTTTTCCTTGTCTACCACTTCCAATATTGCAAATATAGTCAAGAAGAAAATGTTAAATATTTCACCATTGAGTCTGATGTGTGCAGACTTTCTTAAACTGAGAAAATTCCTTTTGAATACTAGTTCTTTAATTACTAGATTATTTTTTGAAGTGAAGAGCAGAGGTTGAGCTCTGTCAAATAATATTTTATGATTCTATCCCCCTGGTCATATGCCTTTTCTCCTACTTCC